TTCTCTGTATATTTACACAAACATACACTGATACACAATTGAAAACATGTACATATTTATATGCTGTGTGTATATGGGTATAGACTTTAAGTAATATTTTAAATGCTGTATTTATTTCTGCTATTTATTTCACAACAACTTATGAATATAGTACACATATAACTATATATAGTTTTATTTCACTTTTTTTAATTTGATTTTATTTTTTTAAGTACATGATAGCTAAATTCATTACAATTCTTATTACACATATAGAGCACAGTTTTTCATATCTTTGTATATAAAGTATGTTCACACCAATTTATGTCTTTATACATGTACTTTGTTGTTTTTTTTTGCATTACAATTCTTATTACACACATATACCACAGTTTTTCATATCTCTGTATATAAAGTATGTTGACACCCAATTCATGTCTACATACATGTACTTTGGATGATTCCACCATCCTTGCTAATCCTCTGCCCCCTCCCTTTCCCTCCCACCCCTCTTCCCTATCTAGAATTCATCTATTCCTCCCATGCTCCCCCTTCCTACCCCACTATGAGTCAGCCTCCTTATATCAGAGAAAACAGTTGGCATTAGTTTTTTTGGGATTGGCAAACTTCACTTAGCATCAACGCCACCCATTTACCTGCAAATGCCATGATTTTATTCTCTCTTATTGCTGAGTAATATTCCATTGTGTATATATGCCACAGTTTTTTTAATCCATTCATCTACTGAAGGGTATTTAGGTTGGTTCCACAGTTCAGCTATTGTGAATTGTGCTGCTATAAACTTTGATGTGGCTGTGTCCCTGTAGTATGCTGTTTCTAAGTCCTTTGGGTATAGAATGAGGAGAGGGATAGCTGGGTCAAATGGTGGTTGCATTCTCAGATTTCCAAGGAATTTCCATACTGCTTTCCATATTGGCTGCAACATTTACAGTCCCACCAGCAATGTATGAGTGTGCCTTTTCCACCGCATCCTCGCCAACACTTTTGGTTGTTTGTCTTCATAATAACTGCCATTCTGACTGGAGTGGGATGGTATCTTAGAGTAGTTTTGATTTGCATCTCTAATTGCTGGAGATGATAGACATTTTTTTCATATATTTGTTGATTGATTGAATAACCTCTTCTGAGAAGTGTCTGTTCATGTCTTTGGCCATTTATTGATTTGTGTTTTTTTGGTGTTTAGCTTTTTGAGTTCTTTATATACCCTAGAGATAAGTGCCCTATCTGATGTGTGAGGGGTGAAGATTTGCTTTTGCTCCCAAGATGTAGTCTCTTTATTCACCTCACAGATTGTTTCTTTTGCTGAAAAGACACTTTTTATTTTGAGTCCATCCCATTTATTGATTCTTGGTTTTAATTTTTGCGCTCTAGGAGTCTTATTAAGGAAGTTGGCGCCTAATACTACATAATGGAGATTAGGGCCTACTTTTTCTTCTGTTAGACACAGGGTCTCTGGTTGTATTCCTAAGTCCTTGATCCATCTCCCACTCTAACTTCTAAAGAATCCTTTTGGCGTGTGAGGTTATTTCACAGGAATATTGTATTTGGCTTAAAGTCATTTCTAAATGGTGCTATTTGCCTACCTGTGTAAATGCAGTTCAAATTGTGGTTTGAGTTAGTCTTCAGTTTTTAAAGAGAAAATTCAGAATCTCTGATGGGAGGAGAGTAAATGTTCCTGGAGAAAAAGAGGTGCCTCTGGAGACCTTGGAAGTGGGTGGTTGCCTTTTTCTAGCCTCTCAGTTAACACATTTCTTTCAACCCTTTTCCCTTAATTCTGACTTTGTTCTTTTTCTGGACACAAATATCAAAATACATTTAAACTACTCCTTGAATTTGAAATAGCCTTTTGCATTCTGTGTCACATTAGCTCAGGAACTAACCATATATTTTAATAATGGTTTAAGAAATTTTATTCTTGAGATTTTGGCCTTAAATTACATTTTGACTTTCTAACTTATTTTGCTAAAATTGTGTGCAGCAGAATCTACTCAGAATCTGATACTTTGTATCAGAATCTGTTCCATGAATTTTACTCTGAAAATGTCTGTCATTCATTTTTGTTTGTTTGCTTGAGACGGGTCTCTCCATCTCCATGTTGTTCAGGCTGGCTTCCAAATCCTGGGTTCAAGGGATCCTCTTGTCTCAGCCTTCTAAGTAACTGGCACTGTGAGCATGCACCACCATACCCAGTTCATTTTTTTTTTTTCTTAAAAAAGAGACAGAATAGTGTAGTTTTATATTCAGGTTATGATCTAATGAAATACTGTTCAATAGAAATAGACTGTGAGCCACACATAATTTTTAAGTCTTTAGTGACTACATTAAATCAATAAAAATATACAGATTTAAATAATTTTGATAAATATGACCCAGTATACCCAAATTATTATCATTTTGACAAATAATTGGCATAAAATTATTAGTTATAGAGAAAGTAGCTAGGAGAAGGGAAATTTCAGAGAAGAACAGGGCAATGAAGTTTGACTTCTATTTCTCTGCTCCCTCTCTTTACCGGTGGGGAGGAGCAGAGGAGAACAGATGAGAAGACCCTGCCCATCTTCACTCAGGCTCCTTCTGCAGCTTGTGGGTGGGACGGTTAAGTCAGAACAGTAATGAGGTTAACTTACTTATTTGCTCTTCTTCCTCTGAAGAGTCAAGAATTCTCTTCCCATTCAGAATGTAGTGTTAGAGCCAAGCACAATGGCACACGCCTGTAATCCCAGCACCACAGGAAGGTGAGGCAGGAGGATCACAAATTCAAGCCAGCCTGAGCAACTTAGTGAGAACCTGTCTCAAAATAAAAAGGGCTGGGGAACGCACCTCAGTGGTAAAGTAACTCTGGGCTTAAGCTCCAGTATCAGAAATAACAATGAGAATTAAAAAAAAAAAAAAAAAAAGTAGTGCAAGAAAAGGCCCCAAAAGCAATCACATGCTCATAGAATTCATACACAGATAAAGGATCTAAAATAAAATGTTGCCCAGATTAGCAAGTTTACTTTAATAAAGAGTACTTTCTTCCCTTTTTCCTTTCCCCCTTTTAAATCCAAGTTTAAATTCCTTGGAAACATAGGAAAGGAGAAGTTTATAGTAGATTTTCCAAACACAAACCTTGCTTTTATAATATAGTTATGGCAACCGCCTCCACTTTGATCTTTTGGGAATGGAACTATTAAACCACCTCTGTGAGCGGTATAGTACTGTCTGTATTTGCTCAGTGATGTGGAGGAGGTGGGAGGGAAGCAATTGCAAAAGGTTAGTGTGTTCATATTTGGACATTTTCAGACATCAGTTTTCTATGTTTTGTGCATTTTGTTTTTGCTGTGTATATAGTGTATATAATGGACAAATAAGTCCCAATTTTGTAACATCTAGTCTCTAGATGTTAAAGAGGTTGCCAGTGTATGACCAAGTAGTTAGTAAAATTAGAACATTTTGTACATTTTTTGTTGAAATTCATAGGAAAGCTTGTCCTCTGTAAAAAGACTTTTGGATATGGATTTGTTCGACCATCTCTAAGTGTTACATATGCCTGTACTTGTCCACTGGACTGAAAATAGAAGGAAATGAGGAGGGAGAGGTTCAAGGACAAAATGGTCATATTAGAAGATACCTCATATTTAACCATTGCTATGCGTGCAATTTTATTTACCAGTGCTGTGTGAATAGTGGACAGGGTCTTATGTGGAATATCTAGTCCTTCTATATATTTAGAAGTGCTTGATATATTTCAAAGTAAAAGTAGTAGAATTGAAACTTTTTGTAAATAGCTTTTAAAAACTGATGAGAAATTTTGTGTTTGGAATTGTTAAACCACCTCTTAACAGGAAAAAAAAAAAAAAAAAAGACCTAAATTTTAAAATCAAACTGTAAAACTCTTTAAGACAGAAGTAAGTCTTCATGGTCTGGGTAAGGAATACTATCTTAGCACGAGCAACAAAATAAATAAATTGGACTTCATCAAAATTAAAACCTTTGTTGTTCAAAGGATACCATTAACAAAGAGAAGTAACCCATACATGAGGAAAAAAATTTTTGCAAGTCATGTATCTGATAAGGGAACTTATATACAGCTACTGCTGGGAAAATGCATAAGTCGATAGACTAGGTTTGTGGAAAGAGGTCAGAGACTCGTGATTGGATGTGTTTCCTGATTTGCGAAGTAGAGCTCTGTTACAAAGTGGTCTCCTCTTCATTTCTTTCAAAATGAAAACATGTAATCTTCCTTACAATTAGTAAGCATCTCTTTCAGCTCACACGATCCACTTTCGAAGTAACAGGTATAAACTCCATGTTCAACTGCGAATTTCTTAGTCCAGGAATCCTTGGCCCTGTGTTATGATTAGCATGTGCCTCACGTGTGGTAGGCAGGCACTCTACCACTGAGTTACAACCCCAGCCCAGATTTTGCTTACTTTTTAAATAAGAATTTAAAAATAGTCCAAGCATCCTTCTAAATCAGTCATAAACTGTTGTAATGGTCTGAATTGTATTTTATGATTTCCTTTTACCCTTGAATACTTTGCCCTGTTCTATCAACTGTGTCTTGAGCCAAGGACTTAGTTGTGCAGAACTCTTACTCAACTCACCAAAACCAGAATCCAGCCAGGAAAATAGAAAAATATGAAATTGATCTTTCTATTTCCTCCTATTAAATAAGAGTTGCTCTGGAAATGTTTCGTGCAAGGAAATAGTGATAAAATTTCTTTGATATTAAGTTTCTAGAGGATGGAAATCTTTTGTGAGTTTTAAAAATTTTTTTAAGGAATCAGATATTTTATTGGGGGAAACCATATGGAATAATGCATTCCCGGACTTCTTTCTTATTTCCTAGAGAGCCTGGATTCCTAAACCACAGATGAGATGGAGGTAATTGAATATTCCCAATTAGAATAGGGTGTATTTTCAAAGTTCATAATAAAGACCTTATAAGTATCATTATGTGTCTGCCCAAACTATTTTAATCAGTTAATAGCTATCTTTATTCATATATTTTAAACCAGATGAGCTCCGAAAAGAAATGTTGGACGATGCCCAAAAGAAATTGACGAATTTGGTAAACAGCACAGAAGGAAAAGTAGACAAGTAAGCTTTTGCCTTTTAACGTTTGTATATTTTATAGAGATTGCTTTTATGGTAAAAACAACTTATAAATGTAGATCTTTATAATATGACTAGATTTTTAAGAAGTCTTTTCTTTTTCTCATATGTTGAGATGAGTGAGGTAGTTTTTTTTTTTTTTTTGAAACATGACACTTTTTATTTGTGCAGAACACTTATTTTTAAAGTTAGCTGAGGTTAAAAATTTTCTGGTTTCCAATGTAATTTGTAACATCCAAAAGTGTTAAGTTCATTATTAAGAATTTATAACAGAGGCTGGGGATGTGGCTCAAGCGATAGCGCATTCGCCTGGCATGTGTGCGGCCCGGGTTCGATCCTCAGCACCACATACAAACAAAGATGTTGTGTCCGCCAAAAACTAAAAAATAAATATTAAAAATTCAAAAAAAAAGAATTTATAACAAAACGGACCTGTATATAGTCAGTCTTACCTGATACCCCAATAACAATATATACACTACACAGTGACATCTAATCAGAACACAGTCTCCCAACCAGACATGGAAATGCAGAAATAGCAATGTTATTTTCATTTCTGTGTGTTCCAGATTTTAGATCATAGAATCTAAAAATTCACATAAATTTTGAATTGTTTTTTCACGTCTGATAAAGACTTTTCTCTAAGAAATTTTTTAATCTTATAAAAAATTTTATAATCTTTTCTTTGAAATATGAGAAAGATATGAAATCTCCTGAGTTATAAATGCAGTTTATACATTCTTTTAAAAAGTTATTCTTAAATATCACAAATTAATTATATATCCATAATACATGTCTTTTCTAGTCATTTTTAAACAATATTCAAGTATGTTGTGCTTCTGCATGTTTACATTACTTTATAAGCTACTTTTACTTTTCAATAAAATTTTATCTACACAAATTTCTCAAATATTTAATAAATGAGACAAAACAATCATTATGAAAATATAAACTGCAACTACATCTTTTTCATCTTTCATTTTATCTTTTTCCTATCTACCAAGTAATTTCCTGTTCCTTAGGGAGGCTGGTAGACTTTTATCTTTCAAATCTCAGCTCTGCTGCCCTCTCAGCCTGGTGTAGAGTCAATACATCTCAGCGGTCTTGAACACACAGCATTCACTCTGCCATATCAAGTGTTTCAGTGACATCTGATAGCATTGGTAGCCATTATTTCTTGTTATTTCAACTGCAGAACCACCTTATTAGCTGCTTCCAAGGAATTTATTAGATTCTGCAGCTCTTCTTTACTCATTTCAACCAAATATGGTTTTACTTCACCATTTTCTTTTACATCTAGATGAAGGTTTAAGAGTGGCATTTGTAAAGTAGCAATCTTGTCACTAGAAAGTGCAAGCTTTAACTGCCAATCAAAATCCTGTAACTGTGCAGAAGAAATATCAACTATTTCCTTTAAAAGAACTTGCTTGATTTCATCTTTCCTACTTTTCAAGCGTTTCATGATAGCTTCTTGATGAGATGAATTCAAATGATTCAATTGCTGAAGTGTCTCTTCATCGGATAAATTTTTACCAACTAGAGCTTTAAAAATTTTGGTAACATTTTCTAAAACATTCATCCATTCTGTTGAATCCCAAACACTGTGGTAATCCTGGTAGAGAGGATAAGCTGGACCACAGAAGCCATCAATTATTTTGTGAAGTGGCTGCACGCCCAGCTGGGGGGAGGGGGGTGCAGCTTCTGCAGCCCCCACAAGGACGTCCCCTCTTCCGGCTCCATCCCTGGGCAAAGAGTGAGGTAGTTTTAAATGAGGGTCAATAGAATAACTTGCCTTCTTTTTTTTTTTTTAAGTATAGTTTCCCCAACACGTTCTTTTTCTTAAAATCATATGGAAGAGTTAAAACATCACCCCAATGTGAAGTACTTAAAAATGAAAAAAATTTCCTTTTACTATTTTTTCTCCCTTTATTGTCTTTAAATGTCAGTTCCCTTGTATATGTTACTGAAATTTTAAAATCTAACAATCCCCCAAACTTATGTGTGCTTGGCATGACATTTTATTGCATTTCTAATCTCTGTCAATATTAGAAAATATTTACAAGAACCAGACTTAAAAAGTATGATTTGTTGAACATATCTTGCTCAAACATATTAAGTCTAGGAATATATGCAATAATATTTAATATTCTTAAAATTATTATTAGCAATGTTTTGATAAATGTGAATGGAGAAATATAATAGATAAACACAAGAACAGTTGTTGCCACTTACTTGTCTACTTCAGGTGAGCGCCAGTCCAGTCAGGCACTGAGCGTCACTAATAAGGCACCTCCTCGGGTGGTCATTGGGTTAAAGAAAATGGGCGACTCATAAATGATGTTTTAAAAGGCATGCATTTTGGATTGTTAGAAATATTCTGAATTAAACTTGTCAAATTTTTAAAAAAGCTAATTTAATGTATTTTATTGTTCAGTCTTTTGTTATTAAATATAATTATTTAAGTGTAATTAAATGTTTATCTGTCTAGTGTTTGGGTACACTCCATGTGGAGATGGCTTGAGCTGTTTCTGCCTTTATTTTCATAGAGTCCTCATGAGAAACCTTTTTATTGGTCATTTCCATACCCCAAAGAGTAAACGTCACGAAGTGTTACAGTTAATGGGAAGCATCCTGGATATTCAAAAGGAGGAAATGGAGCAGGTAACTGGACAGTAAAAGCTATTCTGAATGCATTTATAACTAAAAGAATACCATTGTAGAAAATTGTTTCCTTTTATTATATTTAACTTTTACTTAAACTAATTTTCTCAATTTATCCTACACTGTATTAGTTTAAACATTTTCTAACTTATAAGTCAACTTTTTTATTACTGTACTGAAATTTTAAGATCTAACAATCCCCCAAACCTTTATGGGTGCTTGGCATGACATTTTATTGTACTTGTGGCCTCTGTCAGTATTAGGAAATATTTACTTGGAACCAAAAAGAGACCATACTTAGAAAGCATGATTTGTTGAAATCATGTGAAAGCAATTCATATTTTTCTTTACTTGTATTGATAATATTTTTGTTTTAAAATAATCTTGCAGTTGTTGAATGAAGATTACGGTGGTGTTACAAAGTGGATGACTAGTTGGCTTGGAGGAGGATCAAAAAGTGTCCCCAACACACCTCTGAGACCAAATCAACAATCTGTGCTTAATAGTGTAAGAATCAGTTTTATTCTTATGGAATATGAATGGTGAAATGATTGTATATCACACTCATTTGCAAAGAATCAGATTTATTCTTTGGGTTGTTTCATACAACTCTTTTTTATTTTGGAGTTGTGGAAACAGATCCAGTGAGGTTTGTAAGGATGATAGGCCAGTTTGAACTACTTTATTTTGCATATAGGTTTCATTTTAAATTTTTATTCAGTTCTTTTATTTTTCAAAGTATTAAAGCATTCTTTGTGTATTTTTGTGGCTGGGGGATCAAATCCAGCACCTTGATCATGCTAGGCAAGCGCTCTTGCTGAGCCAAATCCCCAGCCGTTATTTCTTTGTTTGATCATGCTGCCGCCATGAAATAACAACATTCATAAATGCCGAATCTTTATTGTATTCACATATGTATGTTTCAAGATCTTGAGCCAGTGATATTTACTGACCACCTGTAAATATCATATATTTGTTGTATACCAAACTTGTAAGCTTTGGGGATACATCTGCAAAGCTGATAGACTAGGTATCTGCCCTGAACAAACTAACATTCTGGTAGGAGCAGGCAGTTAACAAAAATGAAAAGATTTAGTGCCTGGTATACAGTAGACTTTAGGTGGATGTTAATTGAATTAAGTAGCACTATAGAATATAGGGCTTTTCTTTTATTTTTGTAATAAAAAGGACACAAAAATAGGAAGACCCTGTTTTATTTGGATGACGTAGAATTTAATCTAAAAGAAAGATATATGCTACAATATTATTTTAACTTGATCATGTTACTAATCTTTTGCTATTATTCATTGATTGCATTTTTTTTTTTTTGGTGCTGGGGATTGAACACTCAGGGCCTTGTTGCATGCAAGGCAAGCACACTATCAAGTGAGCTATATCCCCAGCCCTATTGATTGGATCTTAATTTAGGAAATCATGTTTAAGGACTGGGGGTTCTGGTAGAGCACTTGCCTAGCATGCATGAGGCCCTGGGTTCAGTCCCCAGTACTGCGGGAAAAAGGGGACTTATTTTTAATGAATGTTTTCCATTGATAAAATTTTATGTCTTGCCAGGCATTGCTGTTACACATCTATAATCCCAGTGACTTGGGAGACTGAGGCAGGAGAATGGCAAAATCAAGGCCAGCTTCAGCAAGGCCCTATCTCAAAATTTAAAAAAAATTAAAAGGGGGTTAAAGCACACCTGGATTCAATCCCCACCTCCACAGGGGGGAAAAAAATAAGAAAAGAAAAAAGACTGACGTCTAAGTGTCATTAATGGCACTTAGTTAGCTAAATCTGACAGTAAGGTGTTTGAAACAGGTGTTGTCACAAAGATTATTTACTGAATTATAAAAAATTCTGTAAAAACAATGTATCTAAAGTGCTGCATTTTCATTTGTCCATAAAGCTGATTTGTTAAAAAAAGAGAAAGATTGACATAGCATGATCAATTTTTAATTAAAATAGCTGGTATGTTTTCTTAGTTATAGTAAATGTAATTTTATTATCTAGTCTAATGTAACCAAAAGATTTTTTCTTAGTCTTTTTCAGAACTTTTTGTTAAATTTCTGGAAACGGAATCTCATCCGTCTGTTCCACCACCAAAACTTTCTGCTCATGCCATGAAATGTCTAGACTCACCAGAAAGGAGAGAGCAAGGTGCAAATGTACCAGGAAGTTTTAAAGGTAAATGCAAATACTTATTTTTTTCTCAATGTGAAAAATAGAATGTCTAACTGATGATTTTGCTTTTAGTGATATTAACTAATTTTTTAGTGCTTTTAAAAACATTAATACTGCTTTCAAAATTCCAATAAGGCTTTATATATTGTAGCAGTCTGATATTTAATTGGCTTAGATTAATTTAAATAGTATGAAATATTTTCCCTTTGTATTTCAGAATAATTCTCTCTTTACATAAGCCTCTTTGAATCATTCTTCTGGAAATGATGGTGAACTGGTTAAAACTTTTGCCTGTTAAACTGTTTGCCTTTCTCACTAATGGTGCTTATTACTAATCAGAGTCAGATGTGTAGCTTTTTTTTTTTTTCCCTTTGAAAATCGAAGTGTCACTTGGCATATGTATAAGATCAGGTCAGAAAACTGACTCATAAAGCACCTGGAAGCAAATGGATGGTAGTTATAGACATGTGTACATATTTTCTATCCCACTATATTCTAAGGATCTTATATTCATATTACCAGTATTGACATGTAGAAAAATTTCTTAAGTTGAAATTGAATTATTCATTAAACTATTTTTTATTGGAAGATCTTTCTGAAGTTTTTATATTTTAATATAGATGTACATTTTAGTGTAGATTAAAGATGTATGTTATTATGTACTCTTTAGTTTGTATCACATACCATATACTTAAATTTGGATAAAATTATTTATAGAATTTTAAAAGCTTAATATGAACAAATATCTCTTACTTTTTGAACTTTTTTCTTTTCATTTTTTCCAAACTTTTATAGAAAGATAAATAAAATTTATATAAAATTTTTCCATTGATAAAAGTTATTTTTTGTTTAGGTTTGACTACCAAATTCAGTGAAAAGTCATTACTTTTTCCAAGAGGTATAGACAATACTGAAAACTTTTTTTTTTTTTTTTTTTTTTGGTTACACTAGACTATAGCATCTTGAAGGAGATTCTCAATTCCTTATGGCAAGGTCTTCCCCTCCCTCTCTCTACTTTGCTCTTCTTCCCTCTCCCTTTCCCCCTGTTATACCCTCTTTCTTTTATCACTTTGGAACCAGCTTGCTTGGTGTTGATCAGGGACACAAGCCAATGATGAACTGATAATAGTATTTGCATGAATTAAAGCAAATTTAAGAAATATGTCAGAGCTTAGTAGATAATATCAGAAGCCTTCCAGTTTAGGAAGTTGTCATTCACAGGAAAATCTAGCTCGGGGATCCAGGAGTACTTGATAACAACTAGATTTATTGAATTTGTCTTAGTACTTTCTTTGTGTTAGGAGGCCCGATGTATTTGAGTTTTCCATTGCTGAAGTGGCAACTACAAGCTGTGAACTTGTTAGTGGTCTTGTGTAAAAGCAGAATTCTAGTCACTAATACATTAGACCATGTGCCAAATACCTATTCCAGTGAAAATGAATTGTGTCAGCCCAACTTGATAGGATATAGTCTAATTGAATATCTAAAAGATGATCAGGTAATATATGCATCTATTATCTTTCCTTCTGGTAAATTAGTATCGATTCTAATTGTTATTATTACAATATGGGCACCAGCATTTTTCATGACCATTGTTAATTACTGGGAAATCTTAAATTCTCAAGTCCTTTATTTTTTAGGTGGGTAAGAGTTTGCCTTGCAACATAGGTAACACCATTTAGAAAGCTGTTGTTCTAGTAAGTAAAGCTTATTGATTAAGGATAAAGCAACAGCATTAATATGTTTAATAAAGCATTAGTTATTCGTATAAATAGTTTTATTTCTTATTCTCCTTCACCATGTATATATATTTCATAGATTCTGCTTGTAGGATCCAGAATCCAGTAGCATATGATTATGGAGCCAGATCTGGAGACCTAAAGCACATATGTAGCATTGTGTTTTTTAACCAGAAAATGTTCCAAGTTACCAAATAAACTTTAATCAGATTTTCATAATGCAAATAAGTATCAATGTTTATAAATTAACGTCTACTTGTGCTCTCCTTCTGAACAATTAAAGAACAGTCCAAAAACTGTGCTAAACACCAGTGTTACTACCATGGAAGTAGAATTTTAAAGTCTATATGTGGTAAATTGACTCATGTATCTATGTTAATCTCCTTGACAGTATAGGGATAGCTTTCTTTATGCTCTTATTTATCTTAGAAGGTTATTTCAATTTGACCTCTTTGTGATGGATAGAGACTAAATAACCCATATCTTATCATTTAGATGCAGCAGAATTCAGAGCTGGTAGAAGAACTGACATGAGTCCATTCTTGGCTCCACGTTCAGCAGCTGTGCCACTTGTTAACCTAGCTGGAGTTGGACCTGGTGGACCTGGGCATCTGCTTTTGAAACCTATCGCAGATTTCATGCCCACCTTTACACCATTGCCAGTGTCCCCGGACAATAGCGCCAGAGTTGTACTACAGGACCTTCTAAAGCAATAGGTAATTCTCAAGCCAGAGATGATTTAGCACTTTAAAGAAGCCATAAACACTTTGTACTTTTTTTACAGAGTGGCCTTTTGGAAAACAAGGTCATGTATTTGTAGACAAAAAGAGAAAGAAAAAAAGTCGATATATATACTAGGTAATTTGTCTTTTTTTTTCTTTTGTGTGTGTGTGGTTTTTTGCTATAGGACTTAAATTTTTTTTTGTTTTCTTTGCTATAGCACTTTTTGTTTATAAAATTTTGTTCCAATGTATCAGGTAATCATCAGCAGTAATCAATTCGTATGTACTTTTGTGAGCAACTGTACAGAGGAGCATTAGTGAACCATTAGCTCCAACCTCTTTTTTTTTATGATTATATTTGTTAAATTTAATTGTATTAAGATAAAAATGATACATTTAAATACTAGGAAAGAAGAAAAATCCGACCCATATGAAAAATATATATATCTCAGATTTAGAGTATATGAAAACAAAATATAATGTTGCAAAAGTTGTGAATTCTTTAGTTTATAGAAGAAAACATTGTAAAACTACTAAAAGAAAATTACAGTGGGGAAGGCCTGAACATGAAGTTTAGTGGGTAAATTCTAAGATTCTTTTAATCCAAATAGTATGACACCTATCCATTTTACTTATTTTCATTTCTATAGAAAAGTCATTTCACATTAATTCAGTTTTCTAGAAGTTAAATATGTCCAGAAGGAAGAGTATTTTTGAGTCAAACCAAAAGTGGAACCACATGAACCATTTCCAATGTAAAAGTTAATTTGTAAGAATGTATCATTAAATATCTGGACTATTTATCTACCTGCTTTTCTGGGCTCTTCAATAATGCTTACAAACACATTTTTTAAAAACGTGTGATCAAAAAAAAGAAAGAAAATAATATAAATTTTTAAAAGATGAAATGCTTAACAAAACCTTTTTTTAATTTTTGTATATTAAGATAAAAGATAAATCAAAAGTTTCTAGCTTAAGTAGGTGAAATCAGAGAAGAGGAAAAGCAGATTATATAACATACTTCTGTGACACCTGTAGTTTCTAAAACCATTAAGAACATTTTCATTAAAATTAACAAATAAAATTTAATAAATTTTAAATATAAATAATTCAGTATATTAATTTAAATTTATATAAATTAATATTGTTTGATTTAAATTTATTTAATCATTGTTTATTTAATAAAATTAATTTATACTAAATTATAATAATTTAATATAAATTTTAATAAAAATTAATTCTAATTAAAATGCTCTTAGTGGTTTTAGAAATTACAGGTGTCAAGAGAAGTATTTGCTATATAATCTACTTTTTTCTCTTCTCTGATTTTACCTAACTTAAGCTAGAAACTTTTGATTTATCTTAATTTAAAAAAATAAAAAAGGGAAGACAAAATACCTAGTAGCTACATATATATACCAGCTTTTTCTTTCTTTTAATTTTTTCTGTTTCAGCTTTTTTTTCTTTATTTGATTTTCAAGCTCTTGTTAGGATCGGGACATGTGGTTTATCTTTTTTAAACCTCAAACGATTTACACAAAAGAAAAGAAAGTGGCTTCTTTACATAGTGCAGAAAATGGACCCTTTAGAAGAACTTGTATAAAAAGGCTGAGAAGAAGATTTTCTCTGAAGAGGTCGCACCAGTCCCCTACATCTCTGGGTATGTGGTTCATGCATATAGGTTGATGTGACGACCACCACCACCACAGCCATGAGACACACTTGCATCCCCAGGGTCAGTGAAATTACTTCCTTGCACCAGCACCAGCTGTTTAGAACTGAAGAATGAATCTTTAATTTTTATAAGCCCATTATAGAAAATCCTGACTTGAAGCTTAATTGTATGAGGATGTTCGTATTTATACTTTGAAGTTGTACATTGAAGAGCTTTTTCTTGCAGATTTTGTAAATGTAGCAATGCCTTAGAAATAGAAACATTTGTACAGCAAGAAAAGGTGAAAATAAGACTAGTTAAATATGTAAAGAGGTCTGGCTCCAACTAGAGCGAAATTTGATTGTCAATTCTGCTGTGATTAACTGTATATTGGGAGACTGGAAATTTTGATTATATGTTGATGGTTAAAACTTGTTTTTCTAAAAAAAAAATAACAGGTGACACTGCTTCACACAGTGTCACTTCTCTTCTTAACCAACTTATTTATATTGCCATTCTTCCATACATTGTAAAGGAGGTTCCCGTAGCAGTACGTATGAGAAATGTTCAACTGCCTACGGAGCTCTGCCCAGTTGGCATCATAGATGCTCCTCTACTAAACCCCACAATAAATTAAAAACATTGTAAATTGAAAATGCACGTACCACACCTTGTGCCCACCAGCACCATGCTCTGCAGTGTGCTGCTTGCCCTGATGATTCTTTGGCTGACCGGAGCTGCTGCTCCCTGCTGCTGCCCCATCAAGAGGGTGTTGTCCTACATGTTGTTAACCAGGACAAGTGGAATTCCAAATTTAAAGTACGAGTTCTGCTGAATATGCACTACTTTTGAACTACCATAAAGTTGAAAAATCTTTTTTTTTTTAAATAAAAGCATTTTTAATTATAATTAAAGCATTTATATTGTTCTGAGGCTTATTTAGCCATCTTCCTATAAGGTTGAAAGAGTTATCCCAAAATTACTTTCACATTACATAAGAAATTTAGTACACCAGTGAAATCTTACTGAATTTTAGACAAAAATTACCTAATATGGTACAACATTAGGTCAACTTTTCATGGGAACAGGTATCCAATTAAAGATTTGGAAAGAAATTCAAGAGAAAAATTAAGACTTCCATATCATAAATTTTTGCTTCACTTATTTCAATATATGCAGAATACACTGAATTTGTTTTGAGTAAATTCTAGTAACAACTAATCAATGGTAGTGAATAACAATTGACATTTAAAAGTCATAGCTAAAATATATATTATTTTAAAGTGTATAACTCAGAATAACTTAAAAAGTGATGCCTTGATGAAATACTGTAAAAAGATTGCCTTTGCAAAGTTTGAGAACTGGATTCATATAAAGCAGTTCCCCCAAAATGCCCAAATCTAGAATTATAAAATAAATTGGAGTTGCCAAAGTCACTTGTTGTATTGGCTTAGTGTGTATTGGCTAAATATTCTTAATTCTATCCTTTAATTCTTATGTGAAAGTTTTATCCTGTTCATCAAATATTATCTTTGTAATAAAGTAATTATTTTAATATCATTTTTGTGATGAAAACCTTTAATATGCATTTCTTTACAAGCAAAAATAAAAATTTATTCTTAATGAGTATTCTTAATGAGTATATTCTTAAATTCAAATTAGTATTGTTTCGCAGCATACAAAATTTCTGGATTATAAAGCTTCCATCTGATAGCAGTAGCGGTGGTGGTTTCTTGTCACAGTGTTGGGTCGGCAGCCTTCCCTTCCCCCTCCTCCTCTTTCATGGCAGCTGTGGGCAGGGACTTTCCACCTGCCTGAGGAGACCTGAAATGGCCAATCAGAGGCTGACCTGGCAACAGGACCCCAACCACCTTGGGTTCCTGCCCGCTTAGCAGTCGCCCTGACCAACCCCTAAACTCTGCTCGCCAGCCTGCTGTCGGTAGCTGCAGTTTAGATGGCGAGGCCCTCCTACCCCCAGTTTCCCTTATTAGCATTGTTCTTGCCTTTCCCGCCCGCGACTTCCCAGGCCCACACCCTTTCATGGACCGTGAACCTCGCCAGGGAGCGCCCGCCCCACAATAAACCTTTTGGTGGCTCATTCTTGTTCCGTGGTTCCTGACCTCTCGCCCCCCTTTCTGCTTTACAAACAGTAGTTTCATTTTTCTAAGGTAATACACTTTAAGAGTAGCATGGTAGGGCTGGGGATGTGGCTCAAGCGGTAGCGCGCTCGCCTGGCATGCGTGCGGCCCAGGTTCGATCCTCAGCACCACATACAAACAAAGATGTTGTGTCCGCCCAGAACTAAAAAATAAATATTAAGAAAATTCTCTCTCGCGCTCTCTCTCTCTCTTTAAAAAAAAAAAAAAAAAAAAATTATATATAAAAAAAAAGAGTAGCATGGTAAAATTCATATTTAACCATGTTTTTTCAGTCCAGTACTAACAACAAAAAACCTCTGATGCTATAATCATGTTTCATTATAGAATAACTAAGAATAAGAATGGGTTAATAGGAAATACAGAATCTATATCAAATTACTCAGAATAAGTAACATGGATCACAACTTTGAGGTCAAGTGTCTGCAACTGAGTGAGATCCTATCTCAAAAACAAAAAAAATGAGGGATGGGAATATAGTTCAGTGATAGAGCACTTCTGAATTCAATTCCTAGTAAAACACACACACACACACACACACATACACAATAAATGGTGAACAATACTGATACAGGACAGAATTCTGTTTTCTTGCAAGTACTATTTTTTTTCACATCTAAAAAGTAATAATAGCTCTTTAATATAATCTATATACAGTGTCCATAAATTCCCGGTTCTTTTTTCAAAATTAATTTATTTACATATTTTATAGTCGAATGCATTTTTACATATAGTCTACAAATGAAATTGAACCATATTAAGTTGAGGACCATCTTCAATAGATTCGTATATACGTCTTAAGATACTTTCACTGATGGGTCCTATTTGATTCCTGTGTGGAGCACCTGAAATACTAGTTTCTGAGCTTAAAAAAAATACATAATCCTTCATTTTGAAGAAATGGAACATTCAAGAAGTCTTTTATTTTGAAAAGGAAATGCAGAGTGGATATTTAAGTGGTATATGTCATCATATTTGAAATGTCTTTTTTGACATTTTTATATGTTTCCTTGACCAAAACACCCGGTTCCTCCCTCATGCTGTAGTTCAACCTAGTTTGGAAACTGTTGTGGGTGATGGCACATCCAAATGTCACAGAACATGATATTACATGACTGCTGTTTAAGTATGTACCATTGTCTGAAAGCTGTAGTACCTAATGTTTTTGCCGTGACACTGAAACCATAGCTGACTGCTCTGCATACCATGTACGTTGATCTAAACCAGACCTAACTCATTGACTTTTCTGAAACTAAGTTGTGTCAGAGATGAACCATCTGCTTAAGGAAGCTTAGCAACCAGACAGTGGTGAAGCATGTAATTCTAATGTTAGCAAGAGGACACTCCAACGGTATGCTTACAGCAACATTTTAACTACAGTAATTTTGCTGTTTATTTCTTTATAAACAGTAGAATTTGTGGTTGAACTTCATCTTTGCTGCCACAGTTTTTCACAGCATTCCCAATGGTTTTCAACTACAGTTAGTTGAACATAACTCTAGTAGAAAATATACCCAGCCATTGAATTTGATTTTAGTTAACACTATATCGTATGGTTGGGTTTTTGTTTGTTTGTTTTTGTTTTTTGAGTTTTAGTTCCTAATGTTTCTTTAAAGAGAAAAAAACAAAACTAAACAACAGAACCCTAGGAAAGAAGGAATGGCTTTCTTCTACCTACTCAATTAGAACATTAAATATCCTCTCAAATAAAGCCTTCAGTTTCTTTTAACCTTTCAATGGTCAGTTGCAGAGGGCAGAGAGACTTCAAGATACTTATCCAGTTAATGAGCGTGGAGGGGGGGGGGGGGTGGCAAGTAGGCTTGTGTCTTCAGGGACCAAGGAAGTGGGTAAGCTATTTAGGAGGTGCTATTAGGCCCCAAACTTGAAAGCATTTGAATTTGATTTTTAAAACTAATGAAGCTTTTCAAATAGCAAAGTATTTAAAACATCTTCCATCAACCAAAATTTATCTTTGACTTTGTAAATATCAAATAAGTTAGTCCTATGGGGGAAAATGATAATTTTAATATTCTGACAATTTGCCAGTCTTTAAGATTTTGCTTTAAAATTTCTAAGTTGTGTTTGTTTTGATTTAAGGAAAATATCTAAATGGGAGAATTTTTCAACCCAATCTGAAGATGAGTTTGGGTTTTATAGAGCTAAATTTAATACATTTTTTAAATTTCTCGGGAGCACTGCAAAGAAAAAAGAATCCAAATAAAAATGATATATGTAACTTGGCAATGTCTTCATCCACAAAAAAAAAAAAAAAAAAAAAATTAGCAAACAGCTGCTGACTTTTTCTTTAGAAGGGAGAGGAATGGCTTACACATGTTGTTTATAGTAGCAGTCGAACTACTGAAGCAATGTCCCAGAGCTCACCGGATGTCTGCTGTGGGCATTCTATTTGAGCCTTGGAAATTTTAAATATGAACAATTTAGTATTCTTCAGTTTAGCATGGGAATAGGCCTGAGAGGAGATTTTAGCTGTTTTTTTCTTTTTTTTTTCCCTTAGGTAGTATTAGCATCATTGGCCTCTTGGTCTCTCTCCAAGATAATCAATATATCTTCATTTTTTCTTAGATGTGGAAACTTGATATCTTTTAACTCTTCATATGATGATAGTCTGGAAAGGAACATGGGTTTTTAAGTTGACAGTTGGGCAGGAGTCATGATTTGACCCTTCATGTGTGACCTTATCCAAATCATTTTGAGTGTGGTTCTTATTTTTCTCATCTTTGAGATAATACCCACCTAGTAGGTAAGCCTCATTGGGTTATAAGGATCAAATGACAAATTTGTTCATAATCTGTCTTAAATGAATTAGTGTTCCACTTGTGGAAGTGTTTGCTCAAATCCATAGTTCCTCATACAATTGATCAAAGCTGTGGTCATTACTGCCTAAGAGTGGATGAGAATGTCAGGGAAGGGCTGGGTTGTGGCTCAGCGGTAGAGCGCTCGCCTAGCACGAGTGAGGCCTCCGGTTCTATCCTCAGCACCACATAAAAATAAATAAAGATATTGTGTCCAACTAAAAGGAAAAAAAAAGAAAAGGAAAAAAGAATGTCAGGGATAGGGGAGTTGCTGAAGCCAAGGGCCATCTTCAAAATAAGGAGAAATCAGAAGCACCAGTCATGCCATTGAGATGACTGGGGAGGTAAATTTTAAGAAGACAGATTTAGGGACCAGAATGTGGTGGTTGGCTTTGCTTAGAGCAGAATGGTGGGGGCAAAACTATTGCTGAGTGGGTGATTACCAAGTGGAAGGTGTTAGTAGGCAACTGCTGAGAAAGCAGGGTGCAGAGGGCCTTATTAGTAGGAGTCGGTGCGGTGGACAGAGGGAAACGCTTGTGGAAAGGCCTCATTTGGATGGGGAGGCTGACAGAGTTCCTGAGCCCAGAGACAGAGCATCAGAGCACAGGGGAAGAGATTGAGCTCAGAGAGGATGCACTTCTGTAATCAGATAGGGGCGATGAAAGAGCGGGGAAGTGAAAATAGGTGGCTTTGGGAAAAGAGAAATTGTAGGAATTTGCCTCTGAGTTTGGAGGGGACCTACCTTCTGAAAAGGAGGGAGTAGGGTCTGAAGCTTGAGAAATCCAGTCAAGAGACATGTCCAGTTTGCTGAAGAACTGTGAGAGATGTACTTGGGGGCACAGGCCAAGTGCCAGGGGAGACAGATGGGAGAAGCGGGAGTGGTGGCTAAGCACATCTTGAAGGAAGCAAGCTAGCAACTGTCAGATAAAAGTCAAATGGTTCTTGCCCTAAAACCAGTTTTAGTGGAATACAAAATGTTATCAACCTGAACCTTGCCTTCCTGTCCTTGGGACTTAGGTCATGTGAATGATTATGTAGCGGAGGGTTTTACAGCATGTTATTACCAAAATTTAGTACATTCTATGAATCAATAACCCATTATAATTACAAAAATATTTGTCCTGGAGAGAAAGAAAAATTTAAAAAATGTTAATAAATGGATCACATAAGGCAAATGTTTGAATCTTAGCTGTTTTTTCTGCCTTGACTTTTACGATGAACTCTTCCTCTGTATCAGTCCTTTAACTCTTCTGGGGTTAAGAGATTAATAATTTGCACTGTAATGATATTTTAACTGTGATAATCTTCAGCTGTAACATTTTTAGACATGTAATTTTTTTTCAGTCTAGTCTTCTTTGACTTCAGTGAACTATGTTTGGATCTTAAGAAATAAATGTCAGTGATTTGAAAATACCTCACTGCGAACTTGGTATTAAGTTTGTTGAAGCCGTTATCTAGATACCCTAGGATTCTCTTAAAGTTCTAAGATACATTATTTCTTTTTTTAAAAATCCAAGGTATGTTGATGTTGAAGGTATCATACTATTTTTTTTTCCTCTCTCAGTGACAGGTCAGGCTCAAAACCTTTGAT